GATAAAACTTAATCCTTGAACAATGAAGACGATTCGGACATTTCGTTTAAGTAGGTATACAATTAACGTAGAGTATCGACTTGTATACTATTTTTTTACTCACTATTTTGTATATTACAGCTTATGAACTCGTTTTCTTTGTATAGTTTTTGAATAGCACGATTAAAAAGGATTTCCTAAAAAAAAAAAAAAAAACACTGAAATTACTAAACCGACTAGAATATTCTATAGAATGGCATACAATTGGAAAAACCGTTAATCTTACTCGAGCTACATATTTTCGAAAGATTTGATGATTGATTTCTGTACCGGTCACACAATAAGAAATTGCTCTGAAAAAACTATTTTTGTCTCTCTGCATTTTAACACATTTCTTCGGAGTATTGAGAAATGTTGGCATTTGGATATACTTGAAAGGCTTTTCCAGTGTCAAATCCCATTTGAAACACTTGTCGTATTGCCAAGCCTCGTCGACAGGGTAAAACATTCTGAATTCTTCCTGTTGACTTCTTTCGATTGACACAGGGTTTTCTATACCACGATCAGGCGCTGCTGCACTCGCAGGATTCGACATATATCCTTAATAAAATAGTTTAAAGCAAATAAACATACACCTACCTAAATAGAAAAACGGGTAAATCTGTACAGGATGATTTTACCTTGGTCCTGATCGGACACCACATCCGTCACTAGATTATAATGTATTCCAGAAATATGCTGAATATAAATGCACTTGTCCGTTTTCGCCAGCGGGCTTTTGTATTTTTTATTCTGGTCATATAAGTCCCAAGTGCGATTTTGTTGTGAATAAACATATATCGGTGTGTTTAGGAGAAGAGTGGCCGCGACAATTTCCACTTCTGTTGCCCAAGCTAAAACATAGTTCGTTGTATTCAAACTTGTTTTCTGTTCAAATAATGTTCATAATAATAATCGTGCAAATATTTTTTAACCTACAGTTTTGTGATAACCAAATTAAGTGTGCACGGTAATTTTCTTCTCCTAGGTATTCCATAATACGTTGATCGGTCCTTACTATCTGGAAAAATATATACTATTATTTAAAACGGCATATTATGTACAAAGTGATTTATTTAAAGTGGCCTACACTTAAGTCCTCGAAGAACTGTTAATAGTAACACAGTATACTTAATAGAAATTAACGTTTTATTTTATGCCACACTAGTATAGCGTGTTTAAAGCGTGGTGTGTGTTGGATAGATATGTTTTAATAACATTTATTAATTTCAATGTTCTAATTATTACTTCTAATACACGTAGTCGAACGATAAGATGATTATCCTCGGTGCCAGACACCCAAAAAGACAATGCTCTGTAAAAACAGTTTTGGTCTGGTGTGACCGCGACCCATTGCAACGGAAAATTGAGAATTTTCACCACTTGATTGAATTGGAAATAATTCTCGAGATCCATTTTTAATTGTCTACACATTTGGTACTGCCAAAACTGATCGACAGGATTAAAATAACCGACTTCATCTGATGTACTCGACCCGACCATCAATAGCCGGTCATCGGGGTCGTCAATTTTACTACCAGTGCTTTCGCCAGCGAATCCTGCTTGGTTGTGCAGATAAGTCCTTCGATACTCATCCCACATCCTTGAGTTTATGGCATCTGGATCATCGCCAGCTGCATTTATTATTGGAACATGAAAAAGCCATAAACATAGTAATATTAAACAGTAAAATTTATGTTCAATTTAATAATGCCCCGCAACTCTGTAACGACCAAGGTACTTATAATCTAACGTTACCTAGGTCCTGATCGGATATCACGTCCGTCACCAAATTATAATGTACTCCCAAAATATGCTGAATGTAAATGCACTTGTCCGTTTTCGTCAGCGGTCCTTTGGATTTTTTATTCTGGTCAAATAAGTCCCAGGTGCGATTTCGTTGCGAATACACATATATCGGTGTGTCTAGGAGAAGAGTGGCTGCGACAATTTCCACTTCGGTCGCCCAAGCTAAAACATAGTTCATTGTATTTAAACGTGGTTTCTATGTTCAAACGATGTTCGAAAAAATTGTGCGCGTTTTTTGACTTACAGTTTTGTGATAACCAAATTAAGTGTTCACGATAATTTTCTTCTCCTTGAAATTCCAAAATACGTTGATCGGTCCTTACTATCTGGAATAATATATACGCTATTATTATTCAAAGCGACACATATTCGGTCCTCGAGGAATATGTGTTTCACGGCGTGGTGTGTTAGATAGCTGATACATTTTAATGACATTTATTTATTTCAACGTTCGAGCAATTACTTCCAATACACGTAGTCGAATGGCAAGATGATTGTCCTCCGTGCCAGACACCCAATACGACAACGCTCTGTAAAAACAATTCCCGTCTGGAACAACGTCAATCCATTGCAACGGTGAATTGAGAATTTTCACCGGTCGATTAAATTGGAAATAAACCTCTGGTTGCAAGTTCAATTGCCTACACTTTTCGTACTGCCAAAATTCGTCGACAGGATTGAAATATCTGATTTCATCCGATTTACTTGACCCGACAATCACAAGTTCGTCGTCGGGGTCGTTACTTCTGCTTGAACTTCCACAGTAGTAGTTACTTTGGCCCGCTGTGAATGCTGTTTCGTGGCTTCTTTGAAACTCATCCCACGTCTCTGAGTCCCTGGACTGCGAATCGTCGTCGGCTGTATCTACTAACAGCATTGTTGGAACATAAACATGTCCCAAACATAGTAGTATTATACAACTTCCCAGATGCATCTAGAAATTCAATATTAATGAATGAAATTTGTTTAATTTTATAATCGTGCACTCGACAACTTCTGAATTTCTATGCGCGTTAAGAAATAACGTTTTTTTTTTTTGTTTGTTAATTATAAAGCATTCTTTTGTTTGATGTATAAGCTAAAATGAACAACGAAAAAAAAAAACTTTATTTGCGCATGTTTTTAGGATAGTTCTGAGCTGTCGTCAACCATGCCTAATAATATGTCTGTGCAAACTAAATAAAAAAATAACCCTTTTTTTCCATCAGACACCAAACGAATAATATTAATATGATGTATTGGATTCTTTCAGACAATTAGTGTGATTATACAAACAATTTGGTTTGCTACATTGTCAGATAATTGATGATACATTTTAAAATAGTTTTTTGTTCTTTCTGAAAAACGCCATTTATTGGAGTTGTCTCGTTGTTGCCCACAGGTCTTCAAATGTCCATTGCTCATTTGAAATAGATGTATTCTTTAAATTTTCTATGTACAAAACCATAGCTCATAATGGCTTTTTTATGGGGGGAGGGGGTTGGACATTTTTGCTTTATATAGTTTTTTTTTTTTTTGGTTTAGTGTAGGTAAACATTTTCAAAAGTCTTCGTCTTCAGGTACAATGTTTTTTTCGATAATGACATATATATCTACCATCACAGATTTTTTTTTTTTGTTAACATATTGTTATAACACATGTTTTTAGATATAACAAATTAATTTATTTTGCGACATTTTTTTTTTGTCACGAGCTCAAAGTAAGTGCTTGAACACTATTTACCGTATTTTCAATTTACTGCGCCGCCACATTTTTATCGAATAAATAATATTATAATAAAAATGTCAATAAAACCATATTTTTGTATGAAAAAAAAAACGTAATAAGCAAAATCGCGATAAATTGTATTGAACTAATTTAAGCTACTAATAAAACATTAATTGCACAGTTGGCTCTTATTGTTGAGATATTGCCTACGTTCGATTTTATAATATGGCTACAAACAAGCATTACAAAATGTTTATTTGAATTGATATTGGAATAATCGATTAAATATGAATTGTCGAATATTATGTAGAAGTCTCATAAGAATATACAAGATATACATTTCTATGTATTTCTTAGTAACTGAGCAACCTAATCTTTGAGTTGTATTATTAAACGAGTGGCCTTTAACTTTACTATCGCATAATAGTTGTTTGGCGTTATAAAATACACATTACTTCGAAATATAATATTTATTAGTGTGTAAGCGTTTTACAATATTGCAAAAACGTCAATTGACTATTTTTTTAAACGTATTTAAAAATCAAGGTATCATCATTTATCCAAATGTACTTGTGATTCATATTGATATTTAATATCACTTTGGGTATACAAGTGTTCCACAATCTATAACTTTTTTTTCAAATGTAACAACTTAAATTACAATTATTAAAAAGAAAAACAATCGTACCGAGTACTTACAAATAATAAACGAACACGTATTCACTAAAAAAATATTAAACAAAAAATTGCTAGACTTCTTAACAGCATAATATGTAGTATTATATATATAATATAATACAGTATGACAAATGAATCTCTCATAGAAACGTTTAATGTTATAAAAATGTCCATATTTATCCTATTTTATTCGTACATTAAAGGGAAACATTTGTTTAAAAATCATGTTTTTCTTAAAGACAGAATAATGAAGTTTCTTAGTTCTGGAGCTTATATAAATGTTTATCAACAGATATTTAAGAAAATTGTGTATTATGTTGTAGCCTCACTCTAGATCTACCTCCGGTCTAATTTTTAGAACTTAAGCTCTAAAACAGTACATGTATTGCCATTATGAACTTGTAATTGCTAATCTATTCTAAAAAATAACCGATCACATTTATATTTGTTCTAGAAGTAAACATACATTTAATATTGTCAGCTAACAATAATTATTATATTAATTTAAATTTAATCTTTTAACTTGTTCATCATTTTAAAAACATAATTTATTTTAAAATATTATCTATATGTGAAATGTGGTAGAGATAATATCACAGTAAAAAGTGATTGATTTAAGAGGTCAATAATTATTGTAGTTTTTAATTATATTATGCCTTGAAATTGTCGGTATATTTTTTATTATTGCAGACAGACACCGTATAAGCAAAGAATAATATACTAAGGATAAGAAAAATATGAATGTTACTTAATACCAAAAGAAATATAAGTTTATTGCAACTTTATGTTTTAAAGCTTACAATTAAACGGTTAATTTATATTTAAAACAAAAATTTATGAATATAAAATCCGTATTGTATAAAAAATGAACACAACAAAAGTATAGTTTAAAATGCTAAAAATAGTCAACACAATTTGAAAATATATAGTTGACAAAATAATATAAAAGTAACCAAACAAAATAAACATAAGGTAATTAAATTAAAAAAAAAAAAGTATGTTCTATCTAATAGGAAAATGAATTAGACAATATTGGTCGACAAAAATGTTGTGTACTTAAACCACCGTTTTGAAAGAAAACGCGATGGCCACTCAAACTTGGCATAAATCTTGAACTAAATAGTCACTTTCTCGAAGGTTTTTCGTATTCATTTGTCTTTGTCAAATGGATCTGTGAATAACATCAATCAGCTATTAAAAAAGAGAGTTTTTTTTTGCTTTAGACCTCATAAACGTTTGACTCTGTTTGTACATAATATGTCATTTAAATAAAAAACTTAGGTATTCTAGTATTATTTTATTCTAGTACCTTATTATACAAATAGTTAAATATAAAAAAAGATTTTTTGGACTATATCGACGTTTATTTGAATTATTTTCTTATAAATATATGCTGAATAAAGGAAACTTAACTAACGCAAATATCTCAATGTTTTCGTTAAAATTTAAAAATCATATACAGTTTTGTGCTTTTTTTTTATATATGTGATTCGGTGAAATGATAATAATAAAAAAACACATCGTTCTAAAAAAACAACACCTTCTCAGGTACGCATCTATAGGTAAATAAAAATGTTTAAATGTCTTAAATAAATAAATAGAAATTCGTAAGTATAAGTCAACATAATCTTTTTAATCACGTTTTAATTAATTAAAAAAATCACCGAATTTTATCAGGAGAAAAATTATTTGAGTTGACGTTACAAGTAAAATATTATTATCGCTTAGGTGATTTTGTTTTAAACCGTTGCTAAGTGTGCATAGTATTATTTGTGTATGACGACCTAATAGTATTATTATTATTATTAGGACATTATAATTATTTTTAGCCAATAGAAATAATAAAACTTACTATGATAATATAGCTTACGTATGTCATGTGATTGATTATTTTATGCTGTGTTGTATTGGCAAACCAAATTATTGGGCAGCTCACCTTATGTTATTTTATTAATAAAGTTGTTTTTGTATAATTTTGAGAACTCACGTAGCCTAATATAATAATAACAACAATGAGACATAATATTATATTTGTTTAACCAAAAAAGAAACAAAAAAAACATAAACGAATAATAAATAACGGCTGTTATTTTGTAAGGGTTTGAAATTGCTTGAAAATTACAACTATTTGAGCTATTCGTGTAATAGTATTTATTTATTTAACTATTATACAAATTAACTATTAAATACTTTAGAAAAAACATTTTTATTTTCAAATTTAATTCATATTCAATGTTTAAAGTCTGAACCTAAAAGGAATACATAAACGAGATGATTAAAAAAACCGAGGTGGTGTAAGTCACATTTTTGTAAAAGTTGTTAACTCAACTATTATATTAGTATTGTAGTTATGTCTGGAAAAGCCAATTTATCTAAAGGCAAAGTTAAATAAGTCCTAACTCATAACCTCTACCACCAGATGAAACCACAATACAAGAGTTTTTATTATATACTCTTATATACTCTCATACTATTCAACTTAAAAGTGTACAACAGTAAAATTATGTTTTTTTTTTATGTTTTTTCCTTAGTGAAACAAAAAGCTTGACTACAAAATGTTGAGAAAATTGTCTAAAAATGTTTTCACCCTATCTAAGAGAAAAACTTGGAGGTATTTTTTTTTAAATGTTTATTTTTTAAAATTTTATATACAATTATTTTGTGTTTATATAACAGATATAGTCATATACTAAATTTCAAGTCTGAAAACCCATAATAGTCATTCAATCATCCAAGAAGAAGATAGTTTTGCTTAACAGTAAAATAAAGTTTAACAGGCGATTTTAGAACTGTCAAACAACACTTCAACTTCAAGCTGAAGCCATGAAAACGGTCATTAGTTTATTTAAATTAATTACTATTTATTATTATTAATTTTGTTTTTTATTGTTAGTAGGTGAACAGGGTTTTAATAAATATCATTTATACTGTCGCCTTATAAATAAGTGGAATTTTAATACATATTGTAACATACAACTTAACAATTTTAACAAAGAAAAACAAATGTTCTCAATTATTACAACATCTAGTTATAATAATTGGCAGCCTTATAAAAAGGTCTCTACTTCTTGCACTACATCATACTCATTTGGAGACTTTTGCCTTAGGTAAATGCACTTTTCAGTGAATGAATTCACTGGAACCAAATTGTCTTCAATGTTCTTGTTGTATAAATCCCATGCCTGTCTGTCGTGTGAGTAGATAAATATCGATGTGTTCAAAAGAACAGCCGAAGCAAGTATTTCTATTTTAGTTGCCCAATCTAAAAAAAATTGATTACATTTAATGATCTTATCATTGAACATTGAAAATGTTTGGGACAATATTTTTTTTTTAGTACACAAAATATAACAAGTAAAGACTTGTTAAATTAATATTTTACTCACCATTGAGTACTATAAAGCTTATGAACTCATTTTCTGTGTACAATCCTTTAAGAGCACGATTAAAAAGAATTTCCTAAAAAATATACTGAAATTAATTTAACCGGCTAGTATAATCTAAAACGGCAAATTAAAGTTTAGTTTTTCTCATTGACGACTTTTGAGATCATATTATTATGCATATGTGATCATTTATTTTACAAATATATATTTATTTTATTACTTTTTAGATTGCTA